GGGGTGATGGGGGGTGCAGGGTGGGGGATCCTGGCCAGCTCCTCCCTCAGCCTGAGGTTCTCAGCCAGCAGCGCAGTGTACACCTCCCCTGGGAGGGAGTCACCTGTGGAATGGGGTGGGGGGGACACTGGGACGTGTCCTGCACCCCTCCCCATTCAGAGGAGAGTGTTAGGACCAAGTCCTTGCCAGGCCCATGCCCAGGGATGGGTGCTGGGGGGCTCAGGACTGATGGATCCTCACTGTGGACCATCTCAGGGAGCCCAACAGCTGGATATGGGACCCCCTGAGGGTCCCTGTCCCCTCTGGCACACACCTGCTGGTTTCTCCATGCTCCTGCCCACTCCAGTGTCCCCATTCAGAGGAGAGTGTTAGGACCAAGTCCTTGCCAGGCCCATGCCCAGGGATGGGTGCTGGGGGGCTCAGGACTGATGGATCCTCACTGTGGACCATCTCAGGGAGCCCAACAGCTGGATATGGGACCCCCTGAGGGTCCCTGTCCCCTCTGGCACACACCTGCTGGTTTCTCCATGCTCCTGCCCACTCCAGTGAGCTTCTCGCACCCGCTCTGCTCCATCACCTCGATCACCTGGGGTAGAGAGCAGAGCTGTCCCTGTGTCACCAGCCCAATGCCAGGCTATGGTGACCATCTCATGGAGGAGTGGGACTGGCCAAAGGGACCCATCTGCTCCATTGAGCCTCCTGCCCCCCAGTCTGGCCTCCTCATCCCAACCCTGTGTGCCCCCTGACTCACCTTCTCCTGCTGCCGCACTGTCTCCTCTAAGACTTTTGCCTTAGCCACCTTCTTCTGGCATCTCCTCAGCACAACTTGCTGCTGCCTGTGGACTCTCTGGAGCAGCACCAGCTCCTTCTCCCGGTCATTTTTCTGGGAAGAAGGAAGGGGAAAAGCCTCCAGGGAACTCTGTGCTGAGCCTCAAGCTGTGGGGCATCACTTGAGAGAGCCTCATGGTGAGGTCTTGTGGCTCTCAGGCAGTTGCTTGGCTTTGGGGGGGCTGTGATGCTCTCCCTGCTGCCCTCCAGCCCTGTTCCATTCCCTAGGCAGCCCCTGCCCACATCCATACCCTGATCAGCTCATTCTGCAGCTTCTGGACACGATCCTTCAGCCTCCTCATCTCCTCCGTGCTGACCACCAGCTTGTGCTTGAGGGTGGCTGCAAGACCCATGCCACATCCTCATCACCCAGCCAGGGGACACAACACCACAGTCCCTTCCACTGGGACCACCTCCCCCTTCCCCATCACACACCAAGCCTGTCCAGGAGCTCCTCCCGGGTCATGACATCCGTGTGGGCATCGTCGAGCAGCTCCTGGCCCAGCTCCCTCTGCGAGCCCAGGCTGTGCCGCAGGTGGCCGTTCTCCACCTCCAGGCTGGTGACGTGTCTCCGCAGGGACACCAGGTCTCCTGCCATCCTCTGCAGTGCCAGGCGGTAGCTGCTGGTCCCCTGCCAGCCCAGAGCAGAGCTGCTGGCACCCTGCGGCCACAGGGCTGTGCCCAGCTCTGAGGGATCAGCTGGGTGAGGTCAGCTTGAGAGTCAGACACACCATGGGGTGCTAAGAAACATCCAGAACTTCCTCTTTTCTTGCTACCATCCATCCTTCTCTTACCCATCCATCCATGCATTCATGTTTCCTTCTTTTATCTTACCCATCCATCCATGCATTCATGTATCCTTCTTTTATCTTATCCATCTATCCATCCATCCATCCATCCATCCTTCTCTTCATCATCCATCCTTCTCCAGCCACTCATCCTTCTTCTCTTCGCCATCCATCCATCCATCCATCCATCCATCCATCCATCCATCCATCCTTCTCCCCTGCCCCTCCTAACCTTCTCCTCTCCGTCCACCTATACCTCCCTCCACCCAACAGACCCTTCCTCTATTTCCCCATCTCTTCCTACCACCCCTTTGGGGGAATCTCCCAAGGATGTGGGGTGGAGCACTGTTGGAGCTGGGAGTCATCCCCAAGCTCTGAACCTTTTGGGGCTCTGCAGGTCTTTAAAAGAAGGGATGGGGTGAGAAATAATAGAAGAATGGATGTTTTAAACAGATGAACCTGGAGTTTCTTGGCACCTGTGTGGATGGGAAGCACATTACCAGGTGCTGCTGGGGGGGAAATAATTCCCTGAGGATTTGTGTCTTGTCAGGATGACCCTCTTGAATCCTTCCCTGCCAGGCTGGGCTGCAGAGAGGACCCTGGCAGCAGGGACCTTGGTCAGAGGGAGTCACGTGCCTCCAGCTCCTCTGGCCCCTGGCTCCCAGCCTTGGGTATGGCCTTGGCCAGCGGCCCATGGTGGGGCTGGGACACAGGGAGGGGGTGCAGCAGCATCACTCAGCCTTGGGGAGGGGAGGAAGGAGGGGCAGGTGCAGCCAGAGGCTTTGCTCCTTCCTCTCGATCTGTCCAGAGCTGTTTAATCCAGGATTTGGTTCATTCCCAAGATAAAAGTCACTCCAGCCAAACTCAAGGGCTGTCCCCTCCTCCCTACACCTTCACTCACTGGCTTTGGTCCCCGTGGGAGCCAAGGACCTGCCTTGGGGACACTGTTGTCTCCCCCCACTGCAACCAGTGCTTCCACTCCTCCCATCTCCCTGTACTCACTGGTTCCTGGTGGTCTCCAGTGATCTCCTGGGACCTGTGGAGCCAAGTGTGGGAGGACAGTGTGAAACACCAGCAAAGCCTTGGCCAATGAGCCCTCCACAGGGAATAGGAGCCTGTTTGGAGGGATGAGGGGCAAGGAAGTGCTGGGCATGGGGGTACAGGAAGGGTTGGAGTCTGGAGGAGATGAAGAGGAAGATGAGCAGTGATGGGGCAGGAGGAGAATCTTCTTGAAAAAACAGGGGCAGAATGGAGGGAGGAGGAAACCACCCCAAGGAGGATGAGAAGGAGCCAAAACCAAAGTGTCCAAAGAGGTACTTCTGTTTTCCATGTGGGAATAGCTGCTTTCCAGGCAGGATACTGGCCACGGCATCAGCTGCAGGGAGGGACACATCATCTTGGTGGAGCTGGCAGGAGACATCAGAGAGGAGGGTGAGGATAAGGAGCAACTGGGGAAAGCCCTCCAAGAGGAGCAGCAAGCTCCTTCAGTCCCTTCCCCACAAGCAGGAGCAGCTCTCCAGGCTTTCCTCTGGAGCAAAACACCCTTGCCATTGTTTCTTTGGGATCAGGATCCAGCCCTGCCCAAAATACCTCTTCCCATTCCATTTTGAGGCTTGGATACAACATGGTGTGGTCAGAGGGTCAGAAAACCTTCTCCTGAGGATGAGAACACTTAGAAATCCCTGGCTTTGAATCATGGAATCATTTAGGTCAGAAAAGACCTTTAAGACCATCAACTCCATTCCCTCAGCACTGCCAAGTCCAGCACTAAATCATGTCCCCAAGTGCCACCACTGCACCTAAGATGTGGAGGCATCTCCATGAGCAATGGTCATTGAGCCATGCACCCTTGCTGTGCCTGTAACAGGGACCTCTAGGTGACACCAGATGATGTTCCCAACCCCACCCACCATGTCCAGACTCACAGTGGAGGAGAAGGGTCTGTAGTAGAGGACCATCCCTGCTCCTGGGGTGTCCTGGTCCCCCCAGCACCCTGTGCCCGCAGCCAGCCCTGCCCACAGTGAGTTGCCAGGCTCTGCCAGCCCCAAACAAACCACCCCTGGGCAAACCTCCCATCCCTGTGCCACCACCCAAGCTGCAGCTGAGGGACTTACAGTGATGCCAGGGGGCTGTAGCATGAGGAAAAGCTGCTTTTCCCAGGCCCTTTCTGCTGGCAAAGGGATCTGGGTGGCACAGAGCTCCTGATTCAGCAGCAGCTGTTGCTACAACACAACTCTTCTCTTAGCAACTCCTCCCTGGAGTAGCTCAAAGCCTAAAATCCCCTGTCTGCACTTGGCTGGGTGAATTCCAGGTACAGACACATGCTCTGCACAGCCACATCTCCTTCCCTTCAGCATCATTGCCTCTTCCAAAGCCATCAAAGCCCATGGAGACCCCAGCCCCTTGTTGCTCTCATCCCATCCCATCCCCGGTTTGGGGATCTTATCTCCTTATCTCCTGCCTTATCTCCTGCACCCAGCAGCACAGACCCAAGGATGTGACCTGGTGGTGGCCACCACCATGTCCCAGCACTGCCAGGTGGTTCTGGTGGTGACAGCACCTCATTTCCATGCATGGAAACCCTCTCCCCTCCCAGCACGCTCCTCTGATGTTTCAAACACTCAGTTAACTTCCCAGGCCCCACATCTCGGAGATGTGGTTGACACCAGGCTCCAGCTCTGCCTTGGGGTTTGGCTTGGGAAGAACTCACTGGATAATTCGCTGATCAAATCCCATTTCCATTCCAAGGCTGAATGTAGAATGTTTTAAGGCACGGGATGCTCTGTCCCATCCTGTCTCCCTCCCAGGGTACCCACAGAGGCTCTCCTGCCTCCTGCCTGCTGTGGCATCCCACATCTGCCTCCACTCTAGAGTTTGTTAGGGAACAAAGCAGCCAGTGTAAGTCGATGGATCCCCTCACTGCCTCATCCCATGCCATCAATTTTTCATCAAAGAGCCAGTGGGAAGCCTGCAATTATCTGCTCCATCAATAATGCACTTGCCTTGCCTGGACTGGCTTCCACCATGGCTTTGCTAGGCTCAGACTCCACTTGCAAAGCTTGGAAAAGCATCCCTAGGTGTATTCCCAGTGCCATGGCTTTGCTAGGCTCAGACTCCACCTGCAAAGCTTGGAAAAGCATCCCTAGATGTATTCCCAGTCCAACTCTGCTTCAAGTCCCACCAGCCCAGCAGACAGCATCTCCCCAGGGTCAGGGTTAAAGCCATTTTCCCCTACATCTCCTATCTCAATTCCACCTGGAGATGGCTATGTGTCTCCTTCCCACAGGGGCCTGGGATGAAAGGCTGGGAATGCACATCTGAACTGATGGAAGCTTTGAAACTCCTGGCACTCACCATTTAGCTTTTAATATATTTCCCCCCCCTTCATTTCCAAGCCTCTGAAGCTTCTTTGGAGCCTTTCATCACCCCCACGAGTCCCTTCCCTCCTTCCCATATTTGCTTAGGCCAAGTTTCTTTTATATTTACTTAACAAATTGCTCCAAGATGCTTTGATGTATCCGATTAGCTCCGAATCCTGGAATCAATTCATCTCTAGGCAGAGCAAAGCAACACAGAGGGGCTAGAAATAAACCTCTGCAGGAGGCAGGAAGGGTCAAAAATGGCCAAAATTAGGATGTGCTAGGGGATTCTGCATCCATATGGCATATCTGGACCTGGGAAAGGGACAGGAGAAAGGCTGAGGATGGGCCAACTCGTTTCACCTGTGAGCACAGAGGCATTTGAGTCCCTGGCAGTGCCCCAACCTCTGCTGCAGCACAATCTGCAGCTCAACAAATAACATGTCCATGGATGAGTCTTAAGCCTAATTCCTTAATTGTTAGGAAGCTGGGATAAGCTTGGATTTACATATCTGAGGCAAAAAAAAGCTTGCTGCAGCGGCTTAGGAAGATCAGAGGCAAAAAAAAAATCCCATTTTCCCCTCTTTTCTCTGTAACAAAAGCTGCTGGAACCATCAGGAGATGCTGATGTCTTCACTTGCTTTGCCTGATGCTCCCATCAACCTCCCACATTCTCTTGGGATGTGGGGATGGATGGGGCTGGGGGGATGCCAGTCCTCGATGTCCCTGAGTGCCCAACCCACTCTCAGGATATCTGTGTGGCTGGATCAGTGGCAAAAATGTTGGAAGCCCCTCTGCTTCTAAAATCAAAGTGTTTTCCAGGGGAACCCCAAATCCCAGGGGAAATGTCGCTGGTTTTTAGCCTTGCTGTTCCCCTCACACCTTGACAGGCTGTGAAAGGCAGTAAACAAATGGGTTTTATCTGGTTAAACCAAGGCTGAACTCCCTCCCTATGCACGGGGGGGGGCTATG